TGGTGTTGTCAGCACCACGCTCAGCCAGTGAGCTAACCGGCCATCCCTATATAGGATCCGAACCTGTGGCCTTGGTGTTATCAGCACCGCACTCTACCGAGTGAGCCACAGGCCGGCCCTTTTTTTTTTTTTTTTTTTTGGCAGCTGTCCAGTAAGGGGATCTAAACCCTTGACCTTGGTGTTAACAACATCACACTCTAACCAGCGAGCAACCGGTCAGCCCCCCACCCCCATCTGTCGTTTTTATTATAGCCGTTTTAGTGGATGTGAAATGGTAACTCATTGTGATTTTGATTTGCATTTCCCTGATTGCTAATGTTGAGCATCTTTTCATGTGCTTATTGGCCATTTGTATATTTTCTTTGGAAAATGTCTATTAAATCCTTTGCATATTTAAAAAATTTTTTTGCCCATTTTGAAATTGGGCTGTTTGTCTTTTTATGATTGAGTTGTAAAAATTCTTTATATATTCTGGATACAAGTTCCTTATCAGATATATGATTTGCAAATATTTTATCCCGTCATAAAGTCCAATCTGTCTATTTTTCTTTTGTTGCTTGTGCTTTTGGTGTCATATCCAAGAAGGCTTTGCGTAACCCAAGGTCATGATGATTTACTCCTATATTTTCTTCTAAGAGTTTTATAGTTTTAGCTCTTTTTTAAAAAAATGCATTGTGGTCAGAACAGTTAACAGATCTACCCTATTAACAAATTTTTAAGTGTACAATGCTAACGTTATTGTTGACATAGGTACAATGCTTCACAGCAGATTCCTAGAGCTTATTCATCTTGCTTGATTGAAACTTTATGCTTGTTGATTTCTCTCTCTCTCTCTCTCTCTCTCTTTTTTTTTGGTTTTGGTAGCTGGCAGGTAAGGTGATCTGAACCTTTGACCTTGATGTTATCAGCACCATGCTCTAACCAAGTGAGCCAACCAGCCAGCCTGCTCCTTGATTATTAACTCACCATTTCCCCTTATCCCCAGCCCCTGGCAATCACCATTCCACTTTTTGTTTCTATGATTTTGACTGTTAGATACCTTACATAGTGTTATCTTTCTGTGCCTGGCTTATTTTGCTTAGCATAAATGTTCTCAAGGTTCGTCTGTGTTGTCCTATATTGCAGAATTTCCTTCTTTTTTGAGGCTAAATAACACTGCATTGTATGTATGTACCACATTTTCTTTTTCCATCTGTTGATAGATTTAGGTTGCTTCCACATCTTGGCACTTGTGAGTAGTGCTGCAGTATATATAATTTTAGCTCTTACGTTTAGATATGTAATCCATTTGACTTCATTTTTGTGTATGGCGTGAGGAATGGATTCATCCTTTAAGTCTGCTCAGTTCCTTTCCTACATTCCACCCCCATTCTGTCCACACATTTTCTTTGCTTAATGCAGACCCAGAACTTCCTTAACCTACCTTTTTCTCTTGCCCTGCTGTTTTAAAAATGTTTAGTAAGTCTTTCTGCTCTGGTGAGGTGTTTGGATGAATTTGTCCTTCAATGGTCTTTCCCATCTCACAG